GGTCAGTGCATGTCATAATGACAGGTTGTTTGGTTGTTTGGTTGTTCAGTTGTTCCGCCATTTGGTCTATTTGCATATTATCCTTTTATTATACAGGATGGGAGATAGAGATTGAGATTGCTTCTTTTCTCATATAGTGTCTTTGTTAAAAGACCAAGTTGTAGAGGAGGAGAAATGAATTTTTAAGTAAACTAATTTTTAAGTAATGAATTTTTAAGTAATCTAAATTAATTTTAGATTCATTATTATGCTACTGCTAGCTAATTCAGTAGTCATTTGAAAGCAATTTGCCACGTAATTTTTCATTGAAACTTGGTTCTACTATTACTGTTTACAAAGCCTGAACTGATACCCCTAGTGTAATTCTGTATTCTGAGGCTAACTGGACAATTAACTTGGGACAAGCATACTTTTTCACCTTTGAATGAACAATAGTGCCAACATCTTAGAAAACTCCAAGGGTGAGAGCAGTTGCAAAACAGGCACTTGATTATATTTCAGAAACTGAGCACTGAGTACAAATAGAGACTTGGGAAGCTATTGAGTAGCTTGAATAGTTGAATCCTCTCAGATTTCAGACTCTGGTAGGGATCATCAACAAGTTCTGAATAAAGGCCCCTGGCAGAATGATTGGTTACAAATCAATCCCCACAGAATGAGTTCTAGTCATTGCTTTCAAAGAATATCCTAGTGTATCTTGAATTATAGAAATACTATTATGAATAATAAATATGAATAAGGAAAACACCTATGTCCCTAGAGTAGTACAGAGAAAAAATAAGTATTAGTCTTCTCTCTGAACATAAGTGAGGCAACTTAGTATGCATAATGCTTTTCAGGGTAAATCTATGTGTGTGAAAAATTGAATGTGACATAAGTGAAAGTAGCCAGTTGAAAACCTTTTCATTTTCTCCTCTCTCTCTTTGCATGCTATCGGTCTACCTACTGTTTTTTATGCCTCAGTTTTCCCATCTATAAAAATGGGGATTGTATTAGTTTTCTTACCATAAATTTAGCTGCTTTAAAGCCACACCTTTTCTATAGGTCAGAAGTCCTGGGAAGGCAGGGCCGGGTTCTCTGCTCAGGTCCCACAAGGCTAAAATCAAGGTTTCAGTTATTATGTCTCTGATCTCATCTGAGGCTAGCGGTTTCTTCCAAGTTCATGTGGTTGTGGCAGATTTCAGTTCTTGTGGCTGTAGGTTGAGGATCCATTTCTTTGCTGGCTGTTAGTCAGTGGGTGGCCATTCTCTTCATCTACAAGTTACCACGTGGCCTCCTCCATCTTTAAAATCAGCAACAACAAAATCTCCCTCATGTGAAATCCCTCTATCACTTTAAATCTCCTTTGCCAGTAAGAGCTCACCTGAGTAAGTTAGGCCCACTGAGAGTTAATTTCCCTTTCTTAGTCTGCTGATTTGGGATCTTAATTACATCTGCAAAATCCCTTCACAACAGTAAAGTTCCTGGATTAGTATTTGGTTGAATGCCTGAGAAAAGGTAGGTATACCAAAGAGTGAGAATCTTGGGGGATCTGTCTTAGAATTCTGTCTACCCCAGGGATAATAATAATATCTTGGAGAGTTGTTAAAAGGATTATGTGAGTAAAGCACTTAGCATGGTATCTAGTGTAATGTCTCAATATATACCCATATACACCCCATTTTCCTACCTACATAGATTTTTATTTGGATATTTTCACACACAAAAACAAACAAAACCCATTGTTTAGTCTATTTGCTGAGAGTTGATATATGTTTTCAAATTACTTAAAAACAGTGCAGTTAAAAAAAAGAGAGACCAGAATGTAATTTATATTGGTGCACATATATAATATGTCATAAAATGAAGTATGAGTCTCTCGGCATTGTTCATTTTTTTTTTTTGCTTTTTAATAAGAAAAATGCATCTCAGAACCCATGCCTTAACCACTGACATTTTTCAGAAAGAATTGTTTTGTTTCTACTCATGCTCTGAATATAAAATGAATACTTTAAATGCCCCATTCACACAAAAGCCTTTCTGCCCCCTTGCTCCCTTCAATAGTTCAAGTCTAGAATAGGCGGCATTATGCAAGCTGGTGATCCAGCTTCAACAAAGAGAATGCTTCTCACTGACTGTGGGAAGAAAGACACCTAAGGGGTTAACAGTAATATTTTGCAAATTGAGGCAAGTGAAGGAAAAAGCCCTATTAGCATAAGAAAAGGTAGCCTTAGGGAATTTTCCACTCAAATGTTTGGTACTAAGAGCTCTATGTTGCAGAGGAGGACGGAGAAGAGAAACCCTAGTGTCTAGGCATTCTTAAAATGCATTGCCATTGTATTTATTCTACTGGAGAGAAAGACCTCACAGTTATAGAGATGGAAAGTGGTTCTTTCTAGTAAGGAAAGTCAATATTAACAAAAATTTTATGACGTTATACATTAAATACATAGGAGAAATGGGGAGGGGAGAAATCTGCTATTCTGTTTTAAGAAAAGTCTTTCCAGATTAAGAAGATGCAATTTTTTTTTGTTATTAAAAATGTGAATGAAGATCACAGAAGATCATCCAAGTCCTGGAAAATTTGTCCAGAAGCTATAACAAAATTATTTATAAGTCTATTGATAAGGTCAATTTTCAGGGAATCAATGTGCCAGAAATCAATTGATGAAATAAAATTATGCCATGACCTTTCCATTATACAGATGATGACTTTTCAAATTTTCTGTGGAATAGTGGGGAAACCCTGCATTAATATCTCAATTGTCACTTTATTTATTCTACACATGGACATTAAAGAGCCAGAAGTGATCAAGATTTCAGGTCTTCATCCCCAAGTAGATGACTTAGATATACAGATCTGCTTTTCTAAAATAAGTAACTCTGAAGCTCTTGGTCAGGAAAGTTATTCTAAACCAAAGCTTGAAGTGGGGTAATGGGGTGGGGAAGGGAAATAATTTAGAGTGGGAGGAGAGGAAGGGAGGGAGTGAGACACACACACACACACACACACACACACACACACACACACACTCTAGGGATCCAACCCTCAGGTATGTGCCCTGACAGGAAATCAAATCCCTAACCTTTGGTGCTTGGGACGATGCTCCAACCAACTGGGCTACCTGGCCAGGGCAAAAGGAAAGATTAAAAAAAATATATTGGGTCATTCTTCTGATGTTGAAATCATCATAATATGATTTTGCTACTTTGTATGAATATTGCACCCCAAATCAATACAAACAAACAAAAATGCATTCCAAACTGAAGTGAAATATGTTTGATAATCCATATCATTGTTTCCCACTCCAGGTATGGAAAACTTAGAAATAATTACAGACCAAAACCTTTTCATTATAAATGTGACACCCCTATCCCCCACGTTTAGGCCTAAGATGTGCCATCCACCGACTGGTGCCTGGGGAAAAGGAGGCAGTATGTAGAGGCCACTTATTCAGTGATAATAGATCATTTCCATGTACCTGAGAGGGTGTGGGGATTTTTTTTTTTTTTAATGTGAGAACTGGTTCTAAGCTGCCAAATATATATATATATATATATATATATATATATATATATATATATATATATTTTATCAAATTATGCTTTCCTGAAGGAGTTTCCAGATCTACATTAAACCACAGCTATGTATGTGTAATTCAGCTCTTTCCTACGATATTACCACCACATTTTCTAATTCTGTGAAGGTAAAGTGAAGAGACCTCAACTCTTTGAGTCTAACTGATCTATAGTAGTTTCAAAAGCCTGTTTATGTAGACACGGAATCATAAAGAGAAAGGAGGAGCCCAGAGATCACTGGAGACACTCTTCTTGCTACCCAATACCTTTATAGAGACAGAACGTAAACCACACAGCATCATATTTATTTCATTTGTACCTTTTCTCCTCAGTTCAAGTCAAACTTGAAACAGACTCATAGAAACGGAGAACAGGTGGATGGTTGCCAGATGGGAGAGTGTTGAAGGGATGGATGAAAAAGGCAAAGGGATTAAGGCTTACAATTTGGCACTTACAAAATAGTCATGGAGATGTCAAGTACAGCATAGGAAATATAGTCAATAATCCTATCTAATAAAGAGGGTATATGCTAATTGACCTCACACTATTGCAAAAGATGGCAGTGCCCACAGCCAAGAAGGAGGGGATATGCTAATTGATTGTCATGCCTTCAAAGATGGTGGTGCCCACAGTCACAAGATGGCGGTGCTCAGTCTTCTCAGCCCTGCAGGGGCAGCAGATGCTCAGCCTATCACTGGAGTCCCCCAGCCACCCTAGGCCGGCCCTCATATGGTGGCTGTACAGCCACCCAGGGCTGGCCAAGGCTCAGGTAACCAGGGCAAGCCAAGGCTTGTGCTGCCAGCAGTGGCAGCAGCAGAGGTGTGATGGGGCATCACCTTCTCCTGATCGCCAGTTTACCTCCCGACCCTGAGGGTTCCTGGACTGTGAGAGGGGGCAGGCCAGGCTGAGGGAATTTTCATGTACCGGACCTCTAGTATTGTAATAACTATGTATGGTGCTAGGTAAGGTACTGGCAATATCAGGGAGAACACTTTGTAAAGTATATATATTATTATTTAACCACTATGTTGTACATCTCAAACTAATACAATATAATATTGAAGGTATACTGTAATTTAAAAATGAAATATTGTAAAATATGCTTTTGATAATTTATAATGCAAATTTAACTTTGTTTTGGGAAAAATTATGGCCAACTATGAATGAGACAACTGATGATCTCTATTTTCTTCTCAAAAAGAAAAAGTGGTATTCTCATAATTTTAGTTTGTTTCCAATGTGTACTTATTCAAAGAATTTGAATGGTGCAGTACTTTTAAATAAATAGATTAAAAATGAAAAAACAATCAAAACACCATATTCTTGTGCCTGAATTTAGCATTTCCTATTTAATTTCCTACCCTCACTTCTCTTTTGATTAGGCACTTGTTGGTGCCTTTTGAACTTGAAATTCAGACACATTAACTTTCTTCCTTTTACAGCATAAAGAACTAAGAGGAGCTGCTGGTGAAGCAATATACCACAGATACCAAAACCCATGGTAAGCACATATGAATGATTTTTCAATTAATTCTTTTCCTTCCTAAATTTGTAAAAGTGTTACTTTAAAAACAAACAAACAAACAAAAAAAAATACTTTTAAGTATATTACCACTTTATTTATTTTTTATTCCAAATCAACACAACATTTTTATTATCTTTAGATTTTAATTAAAAGGAGGAAATGGGCAAAACCAGCATAGACTATAGGGGAGAAAAAGAGAATCAGCCTGCAGCAATTAAGAACAGGGACTGGATGAGTAGGGTAGCTTTTACTATATAAATACTACTTTCAATGGGAAACAACAATATAATTGTTTTTGGTTAAAAAAGAAGAAGAAGAAGAAGAAGAAGAAGAAGAAGAAGAAGAAGAAGAAGAAGAAGAAGAAGAAGAAGAGGAAGAAGAAGAAGGAGAAGAGAAAAGCTCATTTCATGCAGTTGGTCTAAAAACCATCATAGTGGGTAATCTTCGTTAATAAATGGAATCCTACTGAAGCCACACAATGGCTTGAATTCATGCTATCTGGAGGTTGCCTGTAACCTAAATTAAACAAGCCTGGCTCAAGGTATGTTAAATTACAGGAAAAGAGTACATCTAGGCTTCTCATCTGGATGTAACATATAATCCTGATTCTTAAGAGGGGAAGGATCAGTCAGCACGGCTCTACAAGATTTGGGATTTAGTAATGCCTTTGTTGGCCTTCGCTTTTGGGTGGCAAGGGTTTCAAGCCTAATTCACTTCATTTTTTCACCGTTGGAGGATACAACATTGGTATGTGCAAAATGAATGGACTGTAGGCTCTTTCTGCTGTAACATAATACAAACTGAACCAAAAAGAGACAGACCCTCCACCCCCATGCCAAAAGTCTACTAGTTACTACAGCACGATCTCAGGACCACAAAGGATCTTATTTGGCAATTCCTATAACTTATACATGAAGCATATCCTATGTTTAAAACCATAAGAAAATAGTTACAATTTATTGCACGTTAAACACATGTTCTCATTAAAACATCCCACTTTGCTCAGATAATATTATAAGCATCTATCTACAGATGTGCTACAAAAGATTTCAAGCCAACCCCTCCCTCCCTAAAAAAAACACATTAAAGACCACTGGAAATCAAAGAAACGTCAACAGGCCTTGGTGATATAAGTGTGAAAATTTGCTGCATTTATTTAAACATTAAAAAACTTGTTAGAAAGTATCTGAGAAATATTGAAGCTTGGAACATTTCCCTGGATGAAAGAATGTTGGCAGCGTTCATTCCAGGGAATATGATGCAGATTGTACCAGGTCATGAGGATTCAAAACATTTCTGAAAATGACCTTGTACTTAGGGTACTCTAGATCCAGTTGGAAAATTGGATATAAAGGTAGGTGGATAGATATGAAAAAAATAACAAAGGCAATTTGCATATGTTGAGTGACAAGTTAATAATGATAGTTATAACTGGAAAAGTTAAAACCAACAATTTGTTTAGTGTATTGATGACCCCCTGGACTGGTCAGAAGCCTCGACTCAGGTCCTATTTGTAACTAGTTCAGATGTCAATCATCTAAATGCTGCCTCCCTCTGGAGATTTTACCCACATCTAAGTGCTTAAAAGACTGGGAAGATGCTTCTGAATAGGCTACTGACTAGGACAGGCTTAGGAGTGCCCACTCCCTTGCATTCTCTGTGTGATTGAGAGCTCTCTCTTTTCAGGGCAAGGTTAGTGCTTAGCCTCCCAGTTAATTTTCATGTTCTGACTTTCTTAGTCAACAACCGTCACTCACTAAATTCAGCACTTCCTGTGTTTGAAGCAATGCTAGATCCTTGGACACAGTGGTGAACAAAACAGGCCCAATATATGCCCTTCTTGGAACTTGTATTCTAGGGGAGGAATGAGAGACATTAAACAATGAAATGACTTAGGAACATTATTCTGGGTTTGATGCTTTTTAATGAAAAAATTTAAGTACAATATAATTCATGCTTGTGGCAACAAATCAAATAACATACTAGTAAGCAGTGTATCAAGAAAAGAGTTTATATTCTGCCCAGTTTATGATAAAACATTTCATTTCATTATTTATGGGGTGTAAAGAGGTTTTACTAGGGACATCTACCTAGACTGAGGATCGGAGAAGTGCTCACCAAGAAGTAATTGTTAAACTGACTTTGAAAAGGTGAGTATAAGCTCTTTCCTGGCAGAGGGAACAACATGCACACGGCCCCAGGGCAGGAAAGAACATATCAAATTAGGACCATGCAGCTAGAGGACAGAAACCAATGGGAGTATAGCAAGGCGAGGGTCAGATTGTGTAGAATCTTGTGTCCAGATTAGAGAATTCTGATTTTAATCTAGGAACAAATATAATTCATTAGAAGATTTAAAAAAAAAAAAAAAAGCAACATGATTCAAATTTTTTCCTAAGTTCACCAGAATAGTGGAGTCCTGTGTGGAGAATGGATTGGAAGGTGACAAGAACAGTAGCAAGAAGATGCACTAGGAGACTATCTCATTTTTAATAGGCGCATCTTCCGTTTTCAGTGTGCTTTGCAAACGGGCCAAAATAAATAGTGACTATGGAGGGCTATGGGAAGAACGAAGGATTTGATGGAGCTTTCAAAGAAACTTGGGTTTTACATGCATAGAAAAAGTTGACTATAATGATGGGGAGTTAGAATGTATCCAGTACTCTGATGAAGCAGATTTTAACATCATCTTAATTGAATTTCAGAGGTTCAGTTACATGACCTAGGGCCCCAGAACTAACATTTCAGTCCAAGTAGACTGATTCCATTAACATGGGTTGGGATCTGGCTTGGATGTTTTTAAAGGGCTCCCTAGGTGATCTGATGATGTGCATCCAGGGTTGAGTACCACCAGTTAAGACTGAGAAAAGATGGGGACCGAGCCTTGGGTGGGGGCAGGGGTATGTACCCACACGGAGGACGAGATGAATGAGAGCCACTGAAGCAGAAAAGAAGCCTGACAGTGGGACCCTTCAGACAACAGAAGGCTATAAAGAGTCGTTGAAGAATTTTGAAGGAAATGGAAATTCAAGAAAATAATAACAAACATGTGAAAATTGTCAGTGGTCTCAGAAAAAACACTGTAGGAAGACTAGGATGATTTTGGTCAATACAACCAATGCTAAAGAATTTCTGTCTGCTGACATAACAGAGACAAAATCCTCAGTGTTTTTGAGACTAGATGTCCAGTAAAGGACAATTATAGGATTTCCTCCATTCTAAGACGTGCTTTAAAATTTTTAACTGTCTTGAAATCAGGATGTGTTTTATAATAGTTGTTTATAAGTGTAATGTACAAAACTGGCTCCTTTCTTTCCTCCCATGTAAACCTGTTACTAAATCAATGGTGAGCCATACAATGTATTGCATCCTAATAAAAGTATACTCCAACAAACGTCAAATGAAGACCTTCTACTAGCCAGGTTCTCAGAACATTAAAAATTAATAAGCAGAGCTCAGCGGGAGTGGCTCAGGGGTTGAGCATCGACTTATGAACCAGGAGATTACGATTTGATTCCCTGTGAGGGCACATGTCATGGTTGCAGGCTTGATCCCCAACGTGGGGCATGCAGGAGGCAGCTGATCGATGATTCTCATCATTGATGTTTCTATCTCTTTCTCTTCCTCTCTGAAATTAATAAAAATATTTTAAAAAATTAATAAGCAGAGTCCTCACTCTCAAGTAGCTCACAGACTTTCAGGACAGACTGACACAAACAGCACATTTCCATACAATGTACATTGACGGAGAATGATTGCAGTAACTGTGTGTGTGTGTGTGTGTGTGAACTCTTTTTATTTCCTTCTGACTTGAAACATCCTCTTGTGCTAAATAACTGAAGTTTCTCTAGATATGTGATCTGATGGTTAACTCATTTTCATACAGTTGTGATTGATGTTTTCCAATCTATGCACACAGTATTTCTGATTTGAACAAAAAGCACAGATAGGAAGTGGACAACCAGTTTACTGCCCAATTAAAAGAGGCCACAAGAGAATGGACAGCAGTGAATGGACAAGGCTTTTTGTTTGTTTGAAGATGTAAGGACTGCAGTGACACATCATTACTGAAAATTGCGGGGCCTGGAAGTATCTTGTTTTTCTTCTTCCCTTGACACAGTGTTTGGCAAAATGGGGCATTCAATACATGTTTGCAAACTCCAGTCTTTCTTGTTGTCATAACAACCTAAATTGGTATCATTCTGGCTGGAGAAGTTGGAGTTCAAGTGGTGATGACTTCCTTGGGAGAGACCAAAGTTAAGCTGGTTTTAGAAAGAAAATTTTAGGAAAATCTCTGGCTGTCTGCTTGAGTGAATCTTTTGCCCATGCAAATGAAAGAGTTGCTGAGATTATGAAATCAACATAATTACTCACTGGTTAGCAGCATTCCATAAAGGAGCTGCCGACAGGCCTCTGACATAAAGTCATAACCAAGTTGCCTCTTTGCCAACTGTGGGCTTGAAACATTTGCCACCTATTTGCCGGTTTATAGATTTGTCTTGAGAATAAACTTCAAGTTCCCATAATCTGCCATTGTCATTAGATGGGGGTGTGAAGGAGTCTGTCACCTCCCAGGTAAGGACAACCAAACTGGATATCAGCCCTGGAGGGGAAGAGCCACGTGAGCATTAAAGGATCAAATTAACCTAGCCTTCCTCAACTCCTCTCTTACTCAAGAGTCACAGAGACACAGCTCTTTTAAAATATGTTTTTATTGATTTTTAGAGAGAGAAGAGTAAGAGAAAGGGAGAGAAACCTCAGTCTACTGCCTCCTACACAATCCCTACTGGGGAAGGAGCCTTCAACGTGACCAGGAATCCAGCTGCTGACCTCTTGGTACATGGGATAAAATTCATCCAGTTGAGCCACATCAGGCAGGGCATGAGACACAGCTCATGTTAGAGTGTTCGCTCTCCCAGTTGCCTTGACATAATCATAAGATGTGTTCGGGAGCACCCACTGTCATGAGGTGCACA